TGAAGGGCTAGAGAAGTGGACAGGGAGGTAGGCTGCAACCTGGCTGACCTCTGCTCTCAGGGGGTGGTGACAACACCCTCCTGATGGGTTCCAGCTGGAAGCCCATCCCTCCCAGTGCATCCCAGTGATCAGGAAGGGGGGCCAGCACTGGTTCACCTCATTAATGATCTGGGTGATGGGGCTGAGCACCTGACATGCACGGTGGAGGTTGCCAAAACTGGGAGCGTTTGGTCTGGAGAAGAGAATCTTATCAATGAAGACCTTATAAACTTGTGTTAGTCCCTGATGGGAGGGAAAAAAGAAGGTGGGGCCACACTCTTCTCAGTGATGCCTGGTGAAAGGCAAAAAGGAAGTGAGAGGAAACTGAAACATAAGAAATGCCATTTAAACGTGAGAAAACACGTTTTACTGTCAGGGTGGTCAAACACTGGCAGAGGTCGCCTGGAGAGATTGTGGAGTCTCCTTCCCTGGAGGTCTTCAAACCCCAGCTGGACCTGAGCAACCTGCTGTAGTTGGACAGGACTAACATATCCATCATCTGCCTTTAACTAGTTAGAAGAAACAATTTTTGCGTTTGTGGTAGTATTTTTGGCCTTATCCTCTTATTATTCAAATGAATTAAAGGTAAATTTGTCCTTCAAACTAAAAGGGTAATTTAATTATTTGCTATTAAAATTAAGGGCAAAGCATTAGCTCTCTTTGGATGTAAAACCAGGTAAGAGTCAATGAGAGAGGGAGCAGAGACTGTCACACCAGCCTTTCAGTCTGTTCTTCATGCATGATTTCATCTTCTTTCATAATCCCTCTCGGGGGAGTTGATGGATAGTATCATTTTTTCCTTACTCCCATTCCGTGAGCTGAAACCAGCATGAGTCCATACTCACTGAGCCACATCACTGCTGCCCTCTTAACTTTGCCTTGTTGATAGGAAATGTCACACTGATACATTGCATAATTACAGCTGGCCCCTTTTTATATGATTATTGCCTTGCTATTATTTGAGGCAACAGGAGATGTTGAAATACGCCGTTTTTATAGGATGATGTATCTGAATGAGCTTGTCTCCATCTCAAGTGCCAGCAAGGAGAATTACACGGTGCCACAGCATTGCATTAGCTAAACAGGTTGCTGCATCATTTTCAAGTCTGTCTTCAGATAATAGAGAAAACTATGAAATCGTTTTCCTTCTAAAAATTAAATAATTACCCTGCATCAGAGCTGATCTGATGCAGGAAGCCTGGATTTGAATATCCTCCAACTGCGGTGGCAGATCTAATTATGCCAGTTGTACCTAATAATTGCATCGTTCTGGCTACTGTACAGATATGTTGGCTCTTACACCCTGTACAGTAATGAGTCAAAAATTCCTCTTGCCGAATTCCTAGGAAATTTGAGCAGATCTGATAGTTCAGTGGTTGTTAAATGGCAAGAGAGAGGCCTGTGCTGGGGCGCGGTGCCAAACCTGCTCCCAGGAGCCCTCTGCCCAGCGCTTCTCCATCGCTCCCCAGGTGCGTGTTACAAATATATAACTTTATATGAGTTACAAATATATAACTTTACCATTACACAATGTTGTTGTTTACATTTCTGATCTTAGTCTTCAGATTTTATATCTCTTGTGAGTGCCAAAGCTTGTTTCAAGTGCTTTCGTTTTAGGTTGTCTAGATCTAGGATACACGTCATGCTGGATAACAAATCAGTGCCTCTCAGTCAGGATTTGGAACAAAGGAATATGTCTGAATCTGATAGTACTATAGATTTTTAGTAGTTCTCCTTGTTACAGTGTTAGGAATTAAAAAATTTAAAAAAGTACATGGTTTGAACAGTGTTCATCCTTCTCAGTTATTTGAAATTTTATATATACTATGATTTAAACATTTTAATAATGTTTAAATATACAGAGAAAATTCCTGCACATCCTGGTCCATTTTCTTTTTTTTGGAGTAAAGAAAGTATAGAGTGAAAATTTTTCACAATTTAATTTTAAAAATGTATTTTCCTCTGCTTATTGTGAATAGAGTTGAAATGGAACATCCAATATGGATATAATATTCTAGCAAAGTGCATTTTTTAAATTAAGAAAACTTGCATCTTTAGAGTCATTATTCTAAAGGAGTAGTTCAATCTGTAGAACACAGGAGAGTAACATAAAACAAATGAAGACTTCAGATAATGTATGAAATCCTAAAATTTTAATTTTGAAATATTACTTGGATCTTCTTGCCATGTCCTCTCTTTTCACATCAATAGGGGCAATGAGAAAAAATGAGGTGTAGTAAGTGGTATGGTAAGAACACAGGAGAGTAACATAAAACAAATGAAGACTTCAGATAATGTATGAAATCCTAAAACTATAATTTTGAAATATTACTTGGATCTTCTTGCCGTGTCCTCTCTTTTCACATCAAAAGGGGCAATGAGAAAAATGCGGTGTAGTAAGTGGTATGGTGACTTCAGATAATGTATGAAATCCTAAAATTTTAATTTTGAAATATTACTTGGATCTTCTTGCCATGTCCTCTCTTTTCACATCAATAGGGGCAATGAGAAAAAATGAGGTGTAGTAAGTGGTATGGTAAAAAAGGGAAGCATTATTATTACCTAATCTAATTTTAAAAGTTGAAGCACCTCTTTAAGTTATGCCCACAGTCTTATTTTCCTTCCTTCTTAACCTGTTTTATTAGTCAATTATTTTCCACTGAAATAATTCTGAAAATTCCTTTTGTAACCCAAATTCAGTATTAGGTCAATACTAGCTTTTGGGTTGGTATTTTTAAGCCTTAATCATACAGCTGTACTTTGACCTAGAAACCTCTTTCAATTTGATAGTTGTAGCCACTATTTGTTTAACATCTGTCTGTCTGTAGTTCGTTTTGCATCCAAGTATTCGCTTGCAATTGAAATATTATTATGTAAATAATATAAAGAATTGGAAGAAAGATTTGAAAACATTTTACAAGGATCAATGGAAAACAGTAGTTGGAGGAAGACGTTGGATGAGTGTCTTTCTAGCAGAAGATGGTACAGTATGTAGTGTCTTCTGAGCAGCAAAAGATCTTTCATTGAGAAGCAGAGCCCCCAAACAGACTAAGTTCCTATTTGCAAATCACAGTTCAAAGGCTTTCTCTCTTACGTTGTCAAAGGGCTTCCATTCTCCCGAGCAGTCAATGAAGTTGTTCCTAGTTAATGATTCAAAAGTAAGCCCTTTGGATTGTCCTTTTAATTGTTTTCTGGGTGCCGTAAACTGCAGATTTCAGCAAGAAATAAATATAGATACAGCACAGTAGGAAGTTTTAAAAGCCAGCAGCTTCTGCAAAGGATTGTCAAGAACAATCTGCAAGGAGACTGGTTTTGGCATATAGATTTTGAGCTGAAACAGTGCAGGAAAGGAAGTGCTCCTTGCCAGCTCTCACCACCATATGCTTTATTATAATGTAATGTACAAAGAACAGGGAGACAGCAGCTGCTCTGGAGAGAGGTGGCCACTTGTAAGATTTTGAAACCTTTCTGAAATGTCTGTTCATTTTCTTTTCACTGGGATTTTTTCCCCTTGCTTACGTATTTGCATTCAGAAGATTTTCACTGAAAGAGATCTATTTTTAGACCATTGTAAGAAGAGGAGAGTGGGATCTGCTTTTTTTGTTGAAATGATCTTTGGAGGACTCTAACATGTAGTGTTATATACGGTGAAATGTGGGTAGATTTTTATTTTCTCAATATCCATTCACATCAGTCCATAATGAAACCGTATGTATAAATTAACTATTGTACAGGATTCTGTATCTTTGATGGAAATAAATTTATGTTTTCCATTGGCTTCCAGTAGGTGTTTCCTAGTGGCTTGATCACAGTCACATTTAAGTCAGTGCTGAGATTCAGCATAAATGAGGCACAGTCACATTTAAGTCAGTGCTGAGATTCGGCATAAATGAGGATTTAGATCTAAAATGGAAAGAGTCTGATACGATGTGCACAGAGAAATCAGCCTTTCCTGGCATCGCTCCCCAGGGCAGTGAAGTTGATTACTCTGTTCTTTGAGAAACCTGAAGTTCTTAGCGTGTTTCAGGGACTCACAGTCCTGTCAATGAAAATGTCTGGACGTTTTCCATGACATGCCTGCCATGTCATGAAAATGAACCTAATTTGTTTAAACAAAACTGTGTTTTAAAGGGTATTTTTGACTCCTAACTGAGATTTTCGTATCCACTGAATGTAACAATCCTTCCAGATACACATAACTACAAGCTCTTGGGTTTTAAATTAGGGATTCTTAAGTGAATTTGAGAATCCAGAGGGAAGTTACATCACAGTATAATGGGATTATAGAAGGGCAAGTTGTTATAGTGTATAATAAAATTAATACATCATATTAGCATTTTTGCTGAGTGTCAATGTTTTACATTGACCCTGGAGTAAGGCTAAAATGTCATAGAAACATAAATATGACCCATGTAACTCAGTAAAAATGATGGTTCATATAGAAGGAAGATGTTACAATTCTTTTTGGAAGGATAAATCTTTTTGAGACAGAGATTTTCATGTTTTTATGTATTGCTTACCATAGAACCTGTCTTTAACTCACAATTTCAACCATGAAGTCAGCAAAACAATGTAATTCTATGCAAATGAGAAAAGGAAATACTCTGTTTGTGTCAGATGAGACTTAATTATTTGTAAACCTAAAGAAAGCTGTTTCATTTTCAATAATGTATTGCCTGACCACCACAAGCAATTCAACTGCCGATAGCTAATTCCAAAGACAATTAATGCAATAGAGCAAATGTAGCTTTTCTCTAGAGAAACCTTTCTCGTTGCTGCTTCTAGTCTGGGAAAGCTCGATGGATTTTCTGCGAGCTTTTAAAAATGGGAAGAGACATGATTGCACAGTTAGAGTTTCAGATCTTAAATTGTACACCGTGACTTTGTTATTAATTGCTCAGAAGGCATTCTATACTGCTCATCCTTAGAGTAATTAATATCTAATATTTTCTTCTCTTCAGCCACCAGAAAAAGAGGGTGGGCTGCCTCGCCAGGTGGGCAATAAGACGGAGTGCGGCCTCTTGGGCTTTGTCCTGGATTTGAAGCAGGATTATGAGCCAGTTCGGAACCTCATCCCTGAGGAGAAACTCTATAAGGTTTACACGTTCAACTCCGTCAGGAAGTCCATGAGTACTGTCATTAAAATGCCAGATGGCAGCTTCCGAATGTACAGCAAAGGAGCTTCTGAAATTGTTCTGAAGAAGTAAGTTCAATGGATTAGTTCCTGTGTTTTTCCAAAACACAAAGCATTCTGACACTAATAAGACAGACGTGGGAATTTCAGTATTTGGAATTTGCTACTCACAGTAGAAATATAATACACTCTAATAGTCTAATATCTTTGGCTTATTTTTCTTATCATTGGCTAGCCAATGAGTTGGGCTGCATTCAGTAGTTTACAAATGGATTCTTTACGTTCAACCTATTTGGGAAATAAGGATTTCTCAATTCCGTTGTATGTTGTCAGCTCACTAATTACATGGGCATTGAGGAAATAATGGATGAAGGGCTCCTGCTGTCTCTGTAATAAGTTACAAATTCTCTGATATTTCAGTGGTGAATCTTCTTGTTTAACTTAGAAAATTTAGACCAGAAATTTAAAACTTGCCATCAGAAAAAGAAAGATACAAAGAAATGCTTTTCAGCAGTCACGCAAATAAGCAATCAACTTTTGTTTCTTTTTTTTTTTCATAACTAAAAAAGATGTTCCAGGATCCTTAACGCAGCTGGTGAGCCTCGTATCTTCAGACCACGTGACCGAGATGAAATGGTGAAGAAGGTGATTGAACCCATGGCCTGTGATGGGCTGAGAACTATCTGTGTGGCTTTCCGAGACTTCAACAGCAGCCCAGAGCCTGACTGGGACAACGAAAATGACATTTTATCTGACCTGACTTGCATTTGTGTTGTTGGCATTGAAGACCCAGTAAGGCCAGAGGTAAAGTAAATTCTTACGTTATAAAGCATTTCTTGGACAACTGAATGTAAATTGAAGTACAGATTTCTTGGAGTTTTTATCTTTCTTTTTTTAAAATTATTTAATTGTGTGAAAGAAGATGGAAGTGAGCTTTGGAAATAGACTTTACTTGATAAAAATAAACTATTAATCAACTGATATTTAAATAAAGCAAAATAGGGCTTTTTGAACTACAGGATTGAGATGCCTTAACCTTCTCTCAAGGAGCAGCATTCAGCAGGACTGATCAGCAGAGGTTTTATGATGCTCCCAGATATTAAAGAACATTCCTTTAAGTAACGTGGTAACGTGCAACTCTGGAAGTAGAGAAAAGATGTGCAGTAATTGTAATTGCCATGATTGTAACTGCAACGTGCTCACTTTCCCCAGAAACTGCCCCTTATTGTCTGAACATTTTAACTGGTGGCTACCCAGGAAAAGTGTTTTTAATGTTGTGTTTGGACAAGGAAAAGCTTTGCCATGGAAAGGCTGCAGACTTTGTGGATACTGTATGTAAATGGGTTGTAAAAATAGGACGAAAATTTCAACTCGACTAAATGGAGATGATCAGTATTGGGTGTGCACACTGGAAGCATGTGCCTGCTACTAAACATCAGTGCAGTAACACAAAGGGCTGATTTAGAGGCAGTAGCTTTGTTTCTGACCTATTTATATAGTACTTGATAATTGACAATGGAGAATTAATTCCATTTTACAGTTTAGAAACAGTGACAGAAGGTGAGTCCCAGGACCACTGAGGATAAAACGCAGGAATTTTTAGTCTGTGGCTGCAGCCGCCTGGTGGGATGTGACAGCACCAGCCCCAGCACCTCCTGCAAGTGGGGGGAGCCATTCATCTGCTCCTTTTTTGCCCCGAAAATCCCCGAATCAATTCTGCCATTATTTTGGTAGTAGATTAATGACTGGGGTTTGCTTTGGAGTAAGGTCATTGAAATATAACTCAAATTTCTCTTATACAAAAAGAGTGGGTTCTGATACTGCAAAAATGAAGTAGTTTGGAACCAATCTTTATGGCTTTTATTATTCTGTCTCATTTTACATTATTGCTGGATCTTTTTTTAATCACATGTAAATCTTTGTGTTTGATCCACTGAGAGTTGGTGACAAGGCTAGGCATGTTAGGAAGTTATTTTTTTTACTAAAACATCCAAGGTATACATTAATTTGATATATTTCCCCAAGTCCTCTACAGAGTAGACTTTTAGATACTTCTGACTGCTGTAACTTTGGAAAGTAGCATCACATAATTCTATCAGGTGCAGGAGCCAACTGCATGACTATGCTTTGCGTGATAATGGACTTTCTTGGATTTTTTTCAGTATCAAGAATGTTATATATAAAGTAAATCTTACTTAGCTGAAAACTATGTGATAAACTCCTTAGCTCTGGAATCATCAGATAAAGAGCACTCACTTTATCTGTTGTCAGATGGTCTCTTGCTGCTGATCCATCTGTCCCCACACCTGACATTGCAAGTCTTTAAAAATATTTTAAAACATTCTTAAAATGTTCTGTCTGCAGTGATCCCTTAATGCTGTGGCTCAGGTATCTATAAACTCAGGAAGTTTGTAACCAGCAGTGACCACTAGAACTGTGACCTAGTCCTCTTTCCCTCCCTCACGGCATTGATCCACGATCCGTGCTGTTGGAAAATAGCTGTAAGTCAGGTTATGTGTGGGACGACGGGCCGAGGGAAGGGGTAGCAGTGGGATTTGCAGTTATTATTGAAAATAGCTGCAAACTATCCTTCCATGGGATTAGTATGAGTGTGTTTTATAAGAGAATCGCTCTCATTTGTAGGGAGTAATTTCTTAGGAGCTTGAGGTAAGAACGAATAGTGTTGCTAAAAATAAAAATGTCGAATCTGACTTCTATGTAAAGGATAGAAGAAGATAAAGGCAGGAAAACACTTTATTTCTAGATAATTATTTGAATAATATATTGAATTTCTTGTAGCTTAAAGCCAGAGCGTCCAGTGACACTTCCTACTTCATAGAAAAACGTTTATGATTTCAGAATCTTACCAAATGTTGGACATACCTACAGTTGGTTTTTTGGACTTTGGTACTTGGGCTTTTTTGTCCTCCTTGTCCCTTTTGACTATTTGAAGTGGTAATAACAGAATGAGAACTTTTAAAACAATGTTAAAACTATTACTGCTCCACACATGGGTAAAAAGCAGTAGAAGTGCCTTAGGAAAAAAAATGAACCAAAAATCCCCAAGCCAGGACAAAATCAGAAATTTCAGAAAACTGTCTAGGTATGAAATGTCTGACTTGGTGCACGTTCTGTTACAGCCACCGATGGTGAAATCACCATTGTAGATGCATATAGTAAGATGTTGAACTGTTTGTTAGAGGGGACCTTACTATTTTGTCGGAATTGAGCCCATTTACTAGAGTCACCAGTGGAGTTTATGAATTTTCAAAGTGCTTTCTGTAGGGGGAAAAAAGAACATAAAAAATTAGAAATTATACTGCAACTGCTGTTTTATTAATATTCTCAGTGTTTATAGATGTCAGAAATTATCCTAACAGAAATGATAAGTTAGATAATTCCAATGGAACAATCCAATGTCACCATGCTGGCCGCCTTTAGTTTCCCTTAAATTACAGTCTCATTTTTCCTGGGGAAAGCTCTGTTTTTATCTTTTCCCTAAGATGACCACTGGAGTTAACAGGTGCCAGATGGTAACCTGTGTGTTTCCACAGAGCTCCTGTGGCACACTGCTCACGTCCATCCTTGGAGTGCAGAAGCAGGTGAATACCTGGACCATCACGTCCGTGATGTGATGCTAAGCATCGTTTCAGAGATGAGAGCTCTGATGATATTGCTGGGAGCTTTCTTGCACTTGCATTTCCTTCCCGACATTAAAAGAAACTATTTGAATGAATTATTCAACAATGACACCCAGCCAACTGACCAGCTTTATCTGGAGTGTAACCACTGGACACCCGTGAATTTTGTGTAATTTCTAGGCTAATTCATTATCAACAGCTGGTTTTATCAAGCACTGAACTACCTGCTTGATATTTATCTCCCTTTTTTGTGTGTGTGGTTTTTTTTTTCTTTGATAAATACACAAGAAGAGAACAAATAGGATGATGTCTTGTTCCTGTAGAGATTTTGACAGCCTTTCTGGATTGATTTTAATGAGTCTGTACTGGCTTATACTGATTTGCCAATGTACGCCTACAATCTGTTATTTCTGGGAGATGAACATAAATCACTTCCAAATGTCACTTATTTATTTGTCACCTGATTCCGATAAGATATTCCTGCATTGGATAATCTATGCATTGCATGCATTGGAAGGTTTTCTTCGCAGAGAGAAAATAAACCAGAAAATTTTAAAATGTGTACTTAAGCTCTGCAAAACTGATGGAAAATATCTGCTTCCACTGCCCACTCAGTCTGCCAACACTCTTTCTTCCTTACAGCAATAAAAAAATATGAACAATATTTTAACTGTAATTACTGTACACAGTATTAAATCAGATACCACCCACCAGCTGTCCAAAAAAATGAGAGAAGAGGAAAACAGAATTATTTCTCTAGTTATATGTGAGTTTGAGATGTATTTGAAACTAGGTTGCCCTCCCATGACCTTGTTTAATAGGACTGACACTTTACGTGAATAGACTTTTTTTTTCTGTTTGCACTGTAATTTATTTTTCTCCTTCATGGTTCATCCTCTGTGCTGGTTTTACAGATAGTCATCTAAATCTGTCCTATCCTATGCATGAGGGCCACCACAGTTAAAGTAGGTACTAAGGGAGTTGCAAATTGGCAAGGGGGATATATTCAGGATTATTAATGTGGAAAATGGGTAAATCCAGAGTAATTTTCTTAAGTAATAGATCTGATCTGATTGTGTAGCCCCTATAGAAGTCTATTTCATAATGTTAAAAGGCTTCAGGTCCAAATAATTCTTCCAGGATGCAACTTATGGGAAGAATATTCTCAATTAGTAGAGAAGAGGTAATGGGAAGATAAACCTCTGTCCCTTAATTTTTCTCTTGGTTCTGTAATCTGTACTGAGGGGGAGCCATTCTGCAAACAGCACGTTCTCTGGGTGCCTTCTGAGGGTGGAGGTTTTCTTCTAGTCATGGGGAAAGCACTAGTCTGATCCTCAATTAGGTGTTAGTGAGGTACTTTGGAAAATGGAAGCTTCACAACTGCCTTTAATAAAGATGCAGGAACGTGGTGTGAAACTGTATGTGCTGATTAGAGTAATCATTATCTACAGTACTGTTGCAGGGTGTATAATTTCAGTCTGGTGTGGAGTCTGAGATATAAAGCCTTTTTGGCCCCCTGAAATCATTAGGAGCCCAGCGTTTCGGAGCTGGATCCGAGCACTGGTTGTCACGTAGGAGGCAATGTCCTGCCCTTGGCAGTGTCACATCCTTGCAGCTATAGAGGAAATTAAAATATCTAGAAACGCAGAAAATTAACAGCGTGACGTTGTAGATGGTGGCTCATTTTCTTAGTATTTTCTGTACTAATGGGTGAGATTAATCCACCCTAATTGGCATTGAGTTCTACAGTACCCTTATATCTATGATAGCGGTACGATCAGCAAGCTGCGCTGGACTGGCAGTAGAATATAGCAAGGCTTTGCTATTGTAGCCATTTTGATATCCTTTCTTAAATAGGTTTTTGTTGGGTTTTTAAATTTTTGATAATTATTTTAAAATTAAAATTCTTTTCATAATCATATCCTTTGCTTATTAGTTTCTGTAGGAAATAGCTCTATATAGACAATAGCTGACATAATTCATCAGACAATCCCGTTACTTTAGGTAGGTATGTCCTCTGAAGAGGCTCAGCTGGTAAAACTGCAGCAATCTGCAGCCAGTGGCCAAGTATACCTATTTGGGGAATTGATTCAAATATAGTTTATAAATGCATTGCAAGGATTGAGCGTGTTAGGCAGCACTGCAGAGCAAGCAGCTAGGGACAGGTCTTTGGAGCTATTTTAACTAGATGGGGTAACCTTCACATTTCCTGGAGGTTTTCTTAGGATCACTGCCCCCTCTTCAGATGTTTATTGGAGTCATGATCATCTTTTGGGAACATTTTTCCCCTGAGATTGTCACTTGTCTACTAAGTACCTCTCCCCTGCCCCACACGTAAGAAACAGTGCAACATGTAATTGCTTTATATCTGTCCTTTGCTATCTTCTGTAATAAGGCAGCTCAGTTTCCTGCAGCTCTGTGGAAGGTTTCTAGGTTGCTTTTGAAGTATTAAACACACTTCTTATTCTTCCACGTCAAATAATAATAAGAGGTGGGGTTTTTTTCTTGAAGAAATAATGCTTTCATAATAATGCAAAAGTGTGATGAGACATTCATTGGTTAGAGTGAGAGTTATTAATAATTTTAAAAGTATTATTAACTATAATACAGTTTTAGGGAGTCAATTTTTTTTCTTCTATCTAAAACTGAACTATAGATATGTAGCCTTTCTATAGGTGCTGACTTCATATTATTAGGAATCAATTTTATAGCTCTGGCACATTTTAATTACAAAAATGTATTATTTTTTTTAAAAAAAAAAGCTGTATATGATGCCAAGTCCATAGATAGCTTCTCCATTAGTCTCACGGACCCTGTTACACACTGAATTTTCTCTCATTGGTACGTGTACTCTGCAGCAGGAAAAGTTAGTCTCACGCAGAAAGCAGCATAGCTAAAATCATGCTTTGTCTTTACAGTTTCAAATTTGTAAATTATTCATGAAATTTTAAACTAATATATTTAGGAATTTTTCCTTTTGATATGCATGAATTAGTGTAATAGTGCTAAATTACAGTAACTTTTAAGATAATCTTATTGAAAGGAGAGTTTGGATCAGAAGTTAGATAATTTTCTGTACAAAACATGTGTATTCTCAGTTCCTATTTACATGTCTGTTGAGTACATTATGTTCAATATGCTGTACCTTGATGCTAAAGGTCAAAAAAGCGGCAGAGCACTCCTTTTTATTAAAGTCAGGAGAAGCTTTAGGCAACTGATCTAAAAAACAGTTTGTGTGTTTCTTGATCCAGGATTTGCCCTGCCTGTGGTGTAACCTCAATTCCCTAATAGTCAGGTAGCTAAATATACTATAACATCTATCATTTTTGGTTTTTTGCTTCATAGATTTCTTAGCCTCAAAATATTCTGATTGAATACACCTGACTTCCATTTTATCTCTTATCTAGGAATTTTCTTTCCTGTTACATTGCTTTTTAGGTCCCAGAAGCCATAAGGAAGTGCCAGCGAGCTGGGATTACAGTCCGCATGGTCACTGGAGACAACATCAACACAGCCCGTGCCATTGCCATAAAATGTGGAATCATTCACCCGGGAGAAGACTTTCTCTGCCTCGAAGGGAAAGAGTTTAACAGAAGGATCCGAAATGAGAAGGGAGAGGTAATCCACGTACTAAATCTGTACATATTATATGTTATTAAAAAATAGGGGAAACGCTGAAATGTTGTTTCTCCTGCACTGATGTGTGCCTCGTATCAGTAAGGGCCACAGAGAGACTCCTACTTCTTTCCCCCACAAGCCTTCTGCAATTCAAAATTGCCTGGCAAATGCAGCCTTTTCAGGATGCAGAGCCACTGTCAGTTTAGTGCTACCAGCCCAATTCAGCAGTTTTTAGAACTAGAGCACTAGTCTACAGGAAATCAAAACCAAGCACATGGAAAGCAGGTTTGTTAATAAAGGGAAGGAATTCAACAGCAGTTTGCAGGTCTGTCTCATAAAAATGCAATCTGGACTGCAAACCAGCCTCTCTCCTTTCTTATTTAATACCACTTTATCTAATGTACCATTATATCCCCTCACTCCAATGATTTGCATAATTTAATCTATTCTCTGGAAGATTTTTAACTCTCGTAACAGATGGAGCTAACACTCAGCTACTGAAGTCAGCTTTATGAAAATAAAGTCTATGCTGTGTCTTTGAGTCCATCATTAATGAATGGACACAGTTGTTTACTCCTTGCATCGACTGATGGAATCCTTTGTCCTTGTTGCTATTGGTACACGGAGAAAATTCTGCCATTATCGGTGCCAAAACGAAGTGAAGAATTTGTATTCAAATGTAGAATAGAACAACACACTTTTACTTATAGACATGTTTGATCAGCTTTAAGAAATTCCACTATCCTCTATCTAGAGTCATGATTCTGAGGGGAATTATCCATAAAGATGCTAAGAAAGGCTGCTGAGATACCCTGCAAATTTACCACCGTCAGCCACCAGCTGAGAGCTGGTTAAAAGTAAACTGTGAGTTTTGACCTCCCCTTCATTTGGAGCCCTGATGACTCTTGTAATTTTTCTGTGCTTTCGAAGAAAAGCTGCGGATCTGAGTAGTGAAGTGAATCATCCGACACATGGACACAAAGCTATTTTGCATTTTGCTAATCACAGGCTAACAGTTTTTCTCTTTTGGGTTTGTTTTTTTTTTTTCTTGTGTTTCTCACCTCCAGATTGAGCAAGAGCGGATCGACAAAATCTGGCCAAAGCTTCGAGTGCTCGCTCGCTCATCTCCCACAGACAAGCACACTCTGGTAAAAGGTGCGTGCAGACTACCTGTATAATTAATGCCACAGTTACTAAATTACCTTCATCACACTGTTGGCAGAGTAAAAATTTTATGGTTACAAACATATCTGAGTTTTTACCTTTAATTGCACATTTATACCTAGCACAGGGAAGTTTTCTCAGTAACCATGTCTCTTGTGTTCGCCTTTAAATGAAAAATAATAGGAAACTGGTTGGCAGGAATAACAGAAATACCAATGAGATGTGTAGCCAGAAGGTGTGGGCAATCTCAAACTTGCCTTGTGACATTTAATAGGACTAGAGCGAGGCTGTAGCTGGGGAGGGAAAATGTGTGTTTGCTGGTCAGAAAGAAAATATTGTTGAGAAATAGGTTGTTCTTCGTATAAACAAGAGGGGGCACAGATTTTGCAGCCTTTTCTGTACCTCTTTGTGAAGAAAACAAGAACAAGGTCACTTAGAGTAAACTGAGTCACTCAAGTGCATCGGTTCTCCCACATTTATTTCTAAAGAGTATTCAAAGATAAAAAAAAAAACTTTCCATGTGACAACAGCAGTTGTTAGAGATTGCCCTAGTTAAGGACCTGCCCTCTTCAGCATTACATGAATGGAGATACATATTTTAAGCCAGTGCCATTGTCCTACATGGTCTCTAATTGTATGATTTGCATTGGCTTCCTTTAGATTTCTGGTGGTATTTTTAGTCTGGTTTTGCCCTACACAAATTATATTCTCTTGCCATACTGTCTGCAGATGGAATGCCCTATAAAAGAGGGATTTGTTTGCAGTTTTCTTTATAAAGCCTTTTTTCTATCTGTAACTCACGCTTCTTGATGACTTCAAATCTTATTCTGTCGAATTCGAAGCTCGCACTTAAAAGGCAGCTGATGAAATCAGAGGATTTCTGATCAGTAACATCATTTCTGGCCATGATAACACGGGGCGGCAGCGCAGGCAGGAGCCCCATCGGCAATGGCCATGTTCACTGGTCTCCTGATGAAGAATAAACTGGATTATTTTGCTAAGGCCCTAGAAAGTCTGGAGAGACTCTTCTTAGCAGTTCTTAGAGGAGCTAAGATAAGATCAGCTAATCAGATACATGTTTTCAGCTTGTTGACTGCTTAAATAATTATTCACATTCATGTAGGAAGCCCTTTCTGGATCTGTCCTTTTGGTACGGCGAGGTTTTATGGATATGACTGCAATTGTGACTGATTAAAAAGGCTTTTGGGCAGTATGTAATTTTTTTAAATGCCTAAATGACTTTAGAGCAAAAGTTTTAATAATGTACATAATAGTACAGTAGTACATTTTTATAAACAATATACATATTTTGGGGGTGTGTGCTCAAAAAGATTTTACCAATAGGTGTTGATGATTGAAAAGGCTTGGAGATGACTGGTTTGGGCAACATAGTTATGAGCTCTGTAGGGCAGTATCACAGCAGCACAAAGTTAGCTGAGGTCTCCTCGCATCCCTGCTGCATATAAAATACTATCTTGTAGCTCTTAGAGGCCATGACTTGTACAGCCTAATAGTTTATTTGTTTCAGAAACACACAACAATTTGTGTTTCATTAAGTGGATTAAATAAGTCCCTGGGGAGTACTCATTTGAGTCATTCAGGGTTTTCCCTTAAGAGGAAAATGAAACCTTTGCCAGCGAAAATGAAATCAATAGAGAGCTGAAGAAAAATAAGCTACAAATTATTGATGTTTTATAGCACATGCACTTTGACAATCCAGAAGATATTTACAACTACTGAATGCCTTATGCAACTAATACAATTAATGTTTTAAAGATGTGACAAGGTCAAATGATAGAGCAATTAAGTATCTAATAAAGTTCAAGAACAAGCCTGTGGAAAATCATGATGGAATTTTTTGGCTGGTAATACTCCGAGGGCCATTAAAAGTTACAAGAAACTATTTAAATGTTCACTAGTTCTGGGCCTCTTGTTAGAATGTTACGTTTTTCTCAGACACTTGAGGGATCAAGAGGATTTTCTCTCCTTTGATGTATTGTATCTGCTCTAGGGTAAAAACACACATCACAAAATAAACTTTTTTTTATATTTAATTTTTAATGACATACAGCTGCTGAAGGGAATATTTTTTTTTTCTCCTTAACATAGCACAATCCCACCCAGCAAAAGGATCGTTTTTATTTTGCATTTTTGTTTTTTACTACTGCTAAGGGACTAGAGAAAGTCGTGCTTCAGCATTTCAGGCTGCGCAGACAGTTTCTCTCTTATTTATGGCTTTGAAGTAGAGGTAGATTGGGGGGGAAAAAAAGTCAAAATGGTTTATCATCATGAAGTGTTTCAGAGAAACAAAATGTTAGATATTTCAATCCAACTGAAACACAATTTCTAACGGATTTTATGACATCCATCAGTATAATGTCATATTTTTTAACCTATTTCAAATATGACAAATAAAAATACGTATTATTTATACTGATGTGTCCTTATAGTATTATTGCTGAAATACTTCACTAATGTCATACTGTTCTATTGGAAGCAACTGTTTAGTACTGACAGGAAATATCATCATCTTCTTACCAGAAGATTTAGAGAAAATGAAATACATTTTCAGTTTATCAGTTAAAAAAGCTGTGCTTTCTAATGTGTTTAAATTAGGCTGGAATTACTTTTGTGTGACATTAAAACCAACTCTTCTATTCTCATGTAAGGCTCATGTGTTAACAAGCAGAAGAAAGTATTTTTATTAATTATCCTTAATTACTAAAATATTTCCACTACTATTTCATGGGATGGTATTATATCCATGACCCCATTAATGTGGACATGCCATAAGACGAGGTAGAACAATAAAAATAAAGACTGTACTAACTGAAATTCCAAACTTAAATATCAGCATGTTGCAAATTGCAAGTGTTTTGTATTTCCATTTGAGAGAAAAATTGAGTATTTATTTTTATTCACATGAAGAAATATTTAGAAAGTTGGCCTGTTCCACAGTGTAAAGAGTCAGCTTTAACCAACGCTCCCCTGAAGCGGTGAACATAGAAATAGTTTGAAGGAAGTAGGAGGTTCACTGTGTTTGAATCTCAAGTTTTATCCTCTGTAAATACCACTTAGGTCTCTGCAGTCTGTGCTAAGTGTGTCTTTGTGGGAGGCACTGATGCCTTCAAGGGTCCTCTTTAGTGTTTCAGTCTTATAATATAAAGCATGTTGGTGGTACATGCTCCGTACAGAAATCGGTGTGTTTTAGCCATGTTCTTCTCTGCCATCCTAATAACATGAACTTTGTGGAGCACTATTCACTTAAATACCAGTGCTCTCTGTAATGTTATATATAACACTTGTACATTAACCTTTAAAGCTGTATTCCTGCACGTACTTAAGCATGTAACTAAAGTGAATTTAAATTTTCTCTTTCACACAGACATTCTAAATTCTTATTAATTAACATTGAGCTTCTAGAAGTTTGGAAGTATTAAAAACTGATCTGAACAGGATTGCATTTGTCTATGTTTAGCCTGTCAAAGAAATGTCAGCATGTGTAAGCACACTGGGTGATCAGCTTTCCAGTCCCAGTACCACCCAAACTGGTGTGCATCTGTGAAATGCTCTACTGTACCTAAGTTTTTCCCAACTGCCTGTTTTGAGTTCATCAGTTGAGACGGAAGGAAATACCTATATCAGGAATTTTTCTCTCCCAGAACAAGTGGTTTCTTACTGAGGTGACTCTAAGGGTGACAGTGCAAGTAAGAATTCTTTAAATAAACCAGCATTTGTTCTGCAATGAAGGGGCAACTTGAAGGTACACTTGATGGTTTTGATCTGAGTCATGGGTACAGGTAGCTTCTTGTAAAATAAATGGGAGACACATAGGTTAATATTCTTTCTATATTATTCTGAGTGGATTTGATTTAATGCTTGCTTACTGTTAGATGGGAGGAAGGTGGGAGGTATAGGATATATTTCACTCTGAGCTGTGTATGCAGTGCTGGTACCGTTTATAGCAAGCTCGAGCATGCCGTGCCCCTATGGACAGCTATACATAGTTGTTTAAATATGGTCTTTTCCCTCATCAGAAACAAGCTGCTTGCTCTGAAAAACTTATGCCTTATGTAAGCTCCGTGACTCCTCCCCAGATTCCTGCAGCATCAGCAGAATCAGCGTGTGGAGCGCGCTGTAATGTTCTGCTCTAGGTGTATTCCTGTGGATAAAATGCTTTTTGACAGAGGAAAGTCATGGCCAAACAGCTTAAGATGAGGGAGCAGAGCAATGAAACAGCAAAGGCTCTTTTGGGAGGTTGCTTTGCTGAGTTTTAGGAAATCCCCTGCTATACCTTGCAGACCTGTTTTTATTAAAATACTGTATGTAAGCGTTCAACCAGAGTAAAGCAGTCTATTTTGAAGACATTTCCTGGCTGTTCGACATGACTAATTAATACTGAAGCAGGCATTTCATTACTGGCAGTCTGTCAGGTCATGCCCTTATTCCCATTTTTCACTGATCATTGAAGCAGTTGCTCTCCACAGCTCAGGGCTGCAGAGGGATAACCCTTCCGAAGCATCCCTCTTCTCTCTGGTCTCCTTACATGTTTGTAAAAATCTATACAAACATATTACTCGACACCGAAGCAAATTCTTGAGGTGAAACCTTGTCACAACTATTAACAGAATTGTATCAAAGAAAGAAAAAAGAACCGAAAACTAAAAGAAATGTGGTTAGGAAGGAGGGAAGTGCTGGAAAGAAGAGAATCATTCAGAAATGTGAGGAAGGGAGGAGGAGGAACAGATTAAAAGGAGCGTGCAGAAGTCAGGGAGCCTAAGTATAGCTACGATAAATCCTCTGAATCCCAAATAATCACTGCTGCTCCATTTTAGAAATTTGCCTGATGCACAAATGAAAGTTTCCGCAGAGATCTTCTCTATTCCTATGAATAGCACTGAAGTCCCTCCACGTGCTGGTGTGCACCACGCTGACATCTTTCTGGTGACGCTGGCAGTGGTCACGGCGATGAGGTGTGGGGCTGAGATGGTGATGACAACCAAGACCATGTTATCTCTGGTTTTCCATGACTGCTGATTATGCAGTTCTGTGCTACTGGAGGGTGTCGGGCTTATCCCAGCTCCATAGTTTGTTTTTAGGGACAAAACTGACTGCTAAAGCTTGGGAATGACTTAGCTGCATCCAGCAGTTGGCTGGCGCAGGGTGGTTGGGTCATGTAGTCATTGACATTAGAGCACTATCTTCTAGGAGGTCATTTGTTAGAGCCTTTTCAACCTGATTTGGGTTGTGCTCCCATTTGGAATCCAGTTGGATTCCAGAGAGGATGCTGTCTACCTGTTTGGAGTGGTTAATACCACGATGCGTCAGAGGTTTTAACAAATTTTTTCAGAAGCTTAAACTATTAATTTAACATCAAAGGATGTGTTAATAACAAGAAGGAAAGGCCAAGGTAAATCCTTTTAACAGTAATGGCAGCTGATGTTCCTGTTTATTTAGGAGTAACAAAGGCAAATCACCCCAACAAATTGAAAGCTCTAATTATAAGATCTTATCAGAGTAATGTGCCATTTATCTGAGTTCATGCTGTCAATGGAAAGTGAATAGTTTTTTTTCCCTGATTTTTGTAAGACTGAAAAAAGAGGAGACTAACTGCTTCCATACTGCTCTGCAATCTTCTGGGTGTCTGATAAGCCTGAACCTTGCCAAGACGCAGCTATTGCTCTGTAATCTGCAATTTCCTATTTCTGGTTAGTTATCTGATACGCGAGTTATTTTTTTCCAGAGCAGAATGGAAGCTTTTCACACTGGGTAGGTTTTGATAATTGTTTTTAGAGGCTATGACTTCATGCAAAATGTGTTAGCAAAAGGAATTTTGTCATTTTCCCCCACTAAGTTATTAATGGAGAGGTGTTCTTGTATCCTACACAACAATCCTGGGTTCTGGACTCATATTCAAGTGGACTCTGACATGGCAATAAAAGCATGAGGTTTTTTAAAAAGAAGGACTTCTTCTGTAACCTCAGAAAAATTCTTTATTCTTTTCCTTACTTTCCCCATCTGCATAAGTGGAAAATACTTCCCTGCAAGCTTGTTGTGTGAAACTTGATTTTTTTTTCCTCAAATGATGTCAAAATGAAAGTAGAAATTATTTTATCATGTCTATTTATTAAAATGTTTGGCTCCAGAATTTAAAGAATTATTTTCTATCTTCTTAATCATTGTTTGGCAGAATTGAACATGTCTGTTAAATTGCTAATTTGGCTCCAACTAAATAAAATTATTCAATGGCATTTGTTATCTTTAGGTTAAACTGATTGCCAGAAGGCATCCCAGTAAAGCAGAGATTGCAGTTCAGTCCCAGTTTAGGAGAGCTTGAAGCATGAACTTAAAGTCTTTGGCAAATCCTTTCCATGATCAGAGAGCTGGGCTGAAATGGGTTTGCTGTGACACATAATTTAAATCATAGAAATCTTCAAAAAGAATATAAAGAGCTGAACTCGTTCCCTTTCAAGTCTCTGCAATTTTTGTTGATGTTTTGATGATGCAGGATCAGAACTTTTCATGTGAATTCTAGTAGTGATGACAACGCTTTCATCATTATTTTCCTTAAAAACCAACTCTCTTAATCTCTGTAAGATGTGTGGTATTATGTAGTCTATATTACACAGATCCTGATATTTTTTTGGAGGGAAATTTTATCTTGCTAATTATTTCCTATCTATGTATACACACACCTGTGTATTTTCTGCAGGTATTATTGACAGCACACAGGTGGAACAGAGGCAGGTTGTAGCTGTGACTGGGGATGGAACCAACGATGGACCAGCACTTAAAAAAGCTGATGTTGGCTTTGCAATGGTATAATTTTGAGCATATTTACTGATGTTTGGGTCATTATAAATTTGCTGTAAGAGGGTTTTTTTGTTCATTAAGTGTTGAGAAAGTTGCTTAGTTATTACTTGCCAGTGAAGCAATTTATTGGGAGGGGCGAGTTACGTTGCTTCAGAATCCTTTAATTTACTATGTTAGATTCACTGGTATTGCTTGTTATGATACTTTCTCAATATCTTGTCTAATATATTGGCTATATGTGGAATTTTGTGCCACATACAGCAATTTTTCTATATGAAAAAGTAATCTCTGTGTTCTTCACAACAGTGGAGTACTATTTTGCTTTGGTAAAATCCATCACTAATTGTAAAGATGTCTTCCCAACGTACTCTGTCTCTGAAGACATTAGTATACTAGACTATATATTAAGATAAATAATTCTAATTTTTGTTAGCAATTCTGTTCATGTATATTAATAAAATATCATCAATGATAAAAATAACTCCGAAGATTGGTAGTCATTAAACTGATAATTTAAAACACTTGAAACTATCATCACATGAGTTCCACTGCTGTCTATCAATTTCCTTTTCTGCATCCTTATTCACTTTGAAAAATAGGCCAAATTAGCTAACTTCCTAGCAAATATAAAATGCAGAATACACTCAACAGTCACTGTTACTATGCTGGGGGGTCTCTGTGTAACTGTGGACTTTGAATGAGTATGAAGATTATTATTCTGTCTCTGTACTTTCTAGTAGGTAATTGTATTCCCAATGAATTTTTCCCAGGGTATTGCTGGAACAGATGTGGCAAAGGAAGCCTCAGACATCATCCTAACAGACGACAACTTCAGCAGCATTGTGAAGGCTGTAATGTGGGGACGTAACGTCTACGACAGCATCTCCAAGTTCCTGCAGTTCCAGCTCACTGTCAACATCGTGGCTGTGATTGTGGCTTTCACCGGAGCCTGCATTACCCAGGTAAAGGAAACTTCAGGTGTTGCTTAAAGTAAGGGGCCAAATCCCACCAAGATAGGTTTGCTTTTAAATAAGTGCCTTGCATTTGATCCTTACTTTGTACAACAGAGGTTTGCTTTTAAATAAGTGCCTTGCATTTCATTCTTACTTCGTCCAACAGAAAAGTATGCTTTCTGAAATTCTTCTGAGCCTTAAGAGTGTAGCTAGAATCAAGCTGCTAAATGTTAAATAGCTGTTGACACAAGGAAATGTACTAAGTCATCTTCTCCTGGAAGAAAATTACTTTTAGGAGCTGCTAATTTTTGTGCTGCCTCGATACAGCTCCCTGGTTTTGATTATATATTATTGCCATGACAGAGCCTGTGAAGATAGGAGGGAAAATGTCAGAGAGTAGGAGAAGGAAGAGGTTATGGGACGTATGTGACTTTGTCTTCTTCTCTCAGAATATTTTACTATTAAATATATATTTCTCGATGGATTATGGAATGGGACTATTATTTTCAAGAGAGCAGTACTGACACAGAAGTAATCCCAGCAGGGGAGCTTTTTTTTAACCGATAAAATTATTTTGTTGCTTTCAGGCAATTCCTTTTCATTTCAGATGCAAATGACAAACCAGTTCAATGACATACATAGTTGGGCTTTGATCTCTTTTTCTCCCTCTACATTAATCCCTCACCGCAATCCTGGCATACACGCAACACGTCTAGGTCTTTTATAAAAAGCATATGTGAAAGCAAAACACGTTTTTTTCCCTTCAAATTACTGTTTTGATAATAAAATTAAGTTTTATTTTCCCTGGGAAGAAAACAGGATGTATTTAGTACACTATGAGATTTTTTTCCTTCATTAGAAAATAGCAAAACATGCAGTTTTCATGCTGTTGCTCCCTAAAATAATGTATATTTCAGATGGTGCAGCCAGGTGCTGTTACTAAGCGCCTCCTTTGATGGAGACACGCTATGGGAAAGCTGATGCTTCCCTGCCTGGTGCATCACACAGAGGCACGTACCTGGTTCAGCAGGGAAATTTCACCTCATGCACACCTGAGCAAAGCAATGAATAAGTCACGAGCTCTGCACCAGGGTAAACTTACATTGTAATCATGGAATTGATACTTGAAACTAGAAACTGGGGTACCTTTACACAACCACGAGGTCAAACTTCTCCTAAGCCTTGACTGACATTTAAAGGCCTTTTATTCTGCTGCATACGAGGAGTCTGGAAGCCCCAGCTTCTGCTTGCACCACGCAGCAGCTGGGGAGATACCACTGTGTTTAACTGCTCTGAGCTAAATGAGCATTAGGCTGCTGCTAGGGCTGGAGTGCTCAGGAAAATCAGAAATGCCTGGTTTTGAACCAAGTGGAAGTGATCTTAACAAATTAAATAACTATTTTACACTGTGCAGAGGAAGCATGGAAACCTCAATTCACTTGTTTTCTGAGAAGTAATAATTCTGAGTTAATAAGGGCTAGATCTGTACCACGCTGCCCCAGGTCCTGATGGTGCCTTGTGGGCACAGTTGAGCCCCCACTATGGGACAGAACCGCTGATGTTGAGGCAGAAGTTGGGTAACTTTTCCTTTTCCCTTGGGAAATATTTCCAAGCATATTGAGAAAATGTTTAACTGTAAAGTGATTTTTTTGCTGGTAACAGAAGGTATGTGAGTAAGGACTAAAAGTCTGGAAGGTCAATCCTCCTGGTTTTTTATCAGGGGTACAAAACTGTCTAGAAAAAAGTGCTAAAAGCAACGTGGTTAAGAATACTATAATTGGAACTGAGGCAAGTGCTTCTTTTTAAGACCCTGTTTCATAGACATTCTATCACTGCCTACTAACATTTATTTAAGGTGATTTTTTTTTTTTGGTTAGTGTCCAGCTTTGTGAAAGCACGAAGGGAAATATGTTCTATTTGCTAACTAGGGAATTTGTATTTTATTCTTGGAGAGGCTAAACATTACTAAAACAGTGCAAAGGCTTTTTAAAATCAAATCTAAGTGCATGTGTAGGGCATAATCAGTGCAAGCATATTGCCCTCTCTAGTTCCAGAGCTTTCTTCATCCCCTGCATCATTCCATTGGCTTCTGGAAGGATTTGGATCAGTGCATTTGTATTGCCCCCGTGGTCTGTAAAACCATCCCTGAGCTTCTCAAGTCTATTGTCCTCTCTACAGGTTTTAATGTACACCTCATAGAATTCCTGTATTTATGTCCAGATAGATTCTCATGCAGTTCCTTAATTTGGCAGTAAAAATGCAAATGAAAAGGAAGAGGTCTGAAAGGAGCGAAAATTGAAATTGTAGCAAAGAGGCAGCAGTTATTTCCATTGTAGCTGTGTTTATACTCATCGGCCTGACTGCTGATAATCTCAAGTAGCTCTCAGCTCTGTCTCATTCAAGAAGGATCTTGCCTCACGAATGAACGTTATTATGTTGGGCTTTGACTCAAATACTCCAGCCAGTGAAAGGGCATTATGTTTATTCGGCTCATAAGCTTTACTAAAAATTACACTTGAGAACATACTGTACCCTCTGGTTGCTATGAAAAGAGCTCTAGCACAAAATGCATGAATACACCAAAAAATCCAACAGGCTAGGTGCACACACACAGATCTGCAAAACTCTGCACAGGTCTTAAATTGTTATTTTGACTCAAATATTTAAGTTCTTAACAAACAAATGAAGGTAAAATCCATAGTTTCCAACAGGCACCACAGCTTTCTGTGACCTTCAAAATGAATATAAAGAAGGTCCATGTTGGACTGGATTTTAATTTGCTTTCAGGTGGCCAGTTTGGCTTTCTTTGACACACAGAATATAATTTTAGTCTACAGTCAGTATTCAGGTTAATGAATATTACACATGCAAAAGGCTACCCTTTTACTGATATTTCATCAAATCTATAATGAGAAAAATTCTATGTAGGTAGTAACATTTATTTCATGCTGCTTAATGTCACCTCTCAAAAAATCTGTTCTGCAGTTCAGAACCAGCAGACTGGGATGCTTAGAGTATGAAGCTTCCTTTACATTTAACTACTCTTTTTGGTGTTTCAACTGTTTATGCTTAAAGGGAGTACAAAGATAATACAATCTCATTTTTGACTTTTTTTTTTTTTTTTTTTTTTTTTTAACACCTGGCTTGTGCTTTGCAACTAAATAGACTTAATTTTATTCATTTAATTGCATCGGTGTGCATGTAAATACGGGTGTGTGGTCATATCACTGCGGGACTCCTGGTGAAACCACAGCAACTCTAGATTAATGAAAGGATCCAACTGTGTGAGTACTATTAGGAGTGAAACTAGACCGCTGAGGAGCACCCAGAGAATGCACTGCCAAGTAGGAGATGATTTGTTTGGTCCAGAGCACCTCAGGAGAGGCTTAAGAAAAGTAATTGGTAGAATCTGTGACCATTAGTGGTCATTTTAAGGATCTGCTGCTTTTTCTCTCAAATACATAAATAAAATCAGTGTTCTTGCCAATTCTGCTTCAGGCTTGTACTGTTTAGCTTAATTCTGTTAATGTTAAGCAAATATTATCTTACTATTTATCTACCCAAAGCCTGCTTCAGCAAGGTGCTGCTGCTAGAGAATCTATTATATCTGTTATTTCTATTTTGTCCTAGTTTGCTGTTTCAGTAGATGTTTAACTACATGCACAAGGTGTGTGGGACCCTACATGCTACTCCATCGTTATATATGGATTATAAAGGAGTAGCAGTGGGATATTAAAAAGTTATTATGCAGGCTAAATGGGACCAATGCAAACGGTCATTCAGTATTCTCTGTCATCAGTCCCAGCACAAAGTCATGTTAAGGTAACAGAAATCATACTCTAAGCAGGATAGGAATCACAGCTACAGGGTCACCAAAACTAAGCTGCCCCTCACAGGGATCTAACTTACGTTGGGCCCTGTTTCAATTTACAACAGGTCAGTGCGTAAGCCAAGAGTTCTGAATTTTCAACTAATAATGAACTGTTGTGTTGTGATTCTATAGTTACATAAAGCACTCTGAGATGTAGGTCATACAAAAAAACCAAGCTTAAGGAAGTCTCTGATGCAAAGCTGGACAACTCTTATGTCTGCTGCTCCCATGTCAGTGCAGTTTGTGTGGCACAATGCAGCTGAGCTGTATTAATTCACCTTATCTTTCCATTAACAAATTCATTTAGGTCCTGCTTCCTTTTGTGTTGTCCAATGCCTGCTTTTAAAGTGATCAGGGTGTGGTTATGTTGACCAGTTTGCACATAATTGTCCTTTCTGTTTAGCAACCCTTACCTAAGGTTAAACCAGTATTTTCTTTTTCCAGTGGATTTATGAGATATAAACTCTTACATTCTGATTTCATTCTGCGAATAACGCTTTTGCAGAGCCCATGATGGACTCAGTGGTGGTTTTTCTTTGGAGCCCTGCCTACAATTATTGAGAATTTTGTACTGAAATGAGTCATTGCTCCACATCTCTAGGTATCATATAGAGTTCCATACATTCCTTACAAAGCCAGAAGGTTCATCTGTTTCCTGTTCCCAACATGTATACACAGTACTAAGAAAATATTAGGTGTTTATGTTTGAAGCTGTTAGAAATAATCTGGGTGTGTACAAAATAAGATTTAAAAATGCAGTTCAGGCAAATGCTAACAGTTTTTTACTGGAACTATAAAGCTAGCAGCTTTGTCTCTGCCAGATTTTGTCTCCAACTGTTGAGGCAATGTGACTATTCAAAAAGGTTGCATTAAAGAAAGATAAGACAAAGACGGTGTTTTAACATTTTACATTCAAATTATTCTTGTACTTTGAGAACGACTTAATGTTTTAGCAGACATTAAGAACTGAAAACAGTGACTCTATAGGACATTATGTTTGGAAAATTAAATGTTAATTAAAAAGCACTGTAGCAATGAACTACTGCATGAATCACTTATTGTTTTTACAGATCTTGTTCAAAAAATGAGGATGATCTATACTTACATGTATGAGGCAGTAATTTACATGGTTATAATGTTTTACTGCAGAACTGTATTTGGAAAATCCTAAAATAATAGCATTGGCAAATCTGAAAAAGCTGTAATATAAAATCAAAGTATCTACTGTTTAGCTTTGTTTTGGTAAGGTTTAGAGGCATGGAAATAGAACTGAGGATGCCCCTTCCATACAATTAGTGTGATCTAGCAGCAGAAGCGAGGGCTAACATTTTTTTGTGTTAATGTATGTAAAGTTAATCTACCAAAAATGCATATTTTTATGAATCCATACATGTGTTTTGTGACAAGTGGGAGTAAAGAGGTAAGGGTGAAAATACCTTCTTATTCCCTTACAGCTTGTCATCTAAATCAAAAGTAACAAGCTCTAAAATTTGTGAGGCTCTGCATGTCACAAAAGATTTGTAGTTTATTTCCAGCCTTTGGTGATTTGTACTTTTAAGTGTTTCCAAGATGAAGTGTAACATCACTTGATTTAAGGGACATTTTCCTTTTACCTCTAGGCCAACGCTAACCTATTCCAAGGTCAAGTGGAAAGGAATTTGACAAATAAGTGGCGATTTTGGGTGGTTTGCAGTTTGAACAGCTTTCATCCACGAAGTCTTCAGAAAGTGAACTAAGAATTATTAGCTAGTCATTTAGTGCCTAAAATGCAGTGAAAAGAACATTGAATTTGCCTCCCACTTGCATAAGTGACTAAAATCTGCAACAGAGGACTAAGCTCCTTAACTGATATATATTTTCCTCAGTTTCCACCAACTAATCAGAAATCAGATAGAGTTGCAGTGGAAATTTCATTCCACTGCCTGCCCAGCCTAATGTGTATTTAATGTTTTGGCTTCAGCTTAGAATGAGCTTTCACACTTGACTGAACAGTGTAGCACTGCCAATAATAGATAATTATTAGAGGCACCATAGCCACCCAAGGTGATTGGCAGTGTGAAATGGTGAGAACATGCTGTTGCCAAAACTGATGACTGCCAATTACACTTGTGTGATTTAGAGACTGGAAGAATCTGACTTTTTGTTATGCTAGGAATTTGTCAGGCTCTGATAGGCACCTGAATATTTCACTCTATTTCTTAAGCGCAGCAGACAAATTTGTTTTTATTGACCTAGAAGTCAGTGTATGAAGCAGAAATCCAGCTATTGTAATATCTCAAAGTAGAGAATGTTTCTCAAGAGAACTTATTAACTAGATAGGTAAAACTACAGTAAGGAAAATTCTTCAGTAGAAAACATGTCTTCCTTTTTCTGTATGTACTGTGTCCAAGTGTAGGGTCTCTGAGTCCAAACAACAAACTGCTTTTAGTGCAAGTACTCTCCTTGCCATTAGGACCAAAATTTGTCCTGATTGCTTTTAGGATTTTAGCCACCACTAAAGACAAAAATGTTTCTTGTTTCTGCAGCTGCATGTCAAATGAGTGAGCTGAACTCTCCAGATAAGCCCAATTAACGTAACCCGTAACTAAAAAGTCAAGAATCTATTAATGCTAATCTTCCTCCCTTCCTTGATGTAGCCAACCTGTAAGACTTAGAAACAGTAGGTTGCTTTTCTCCATCCCTTTGAATATGCAAAAATGAATAATTTCTATAAATATATCAAAATTTGTGTAAACATAAGGGTGTTAAAAATATATTTTCAAGAGGAAATAATATTTTTTCTCAAGGGAGACATGGAATATAAACCACATCCCCAAGAGACCAAACCTTTCACCCTTGTTCTCCATGTGTCCTTGGGATGCTGGCCCTCATTATTTGATAATATTTCATTAAAAGTGAACATTTAACCCTTTGAAGAAAAGGGCAGAGTTCATAAGGTGGTTTTATTGGCTTTGATTTGGCTTCTGTGCTGTTCCATAAATTTCTGTGCTTCACTACTGCAGCACCATGGTAATGTAATGCATAAAAATAGTGCTGTGACGTTCCAACTTTCACGCTTTAGATTATAAAATTCATCATACTGCTACCTTATTACGTTTGAGATTCTGTTTCCCTAATAAAATCCGTCTATTTGAACCAGGAAGCAGACCTTACTAATGCTGCCCTTTTTGTATTCAGTTTAAAGGCACAGGATGTAGGTAGATACCCGTAAAGAACCTACTTCATTTTTCCTGATGCAGCTCCTTGAAGCAATTGCATCCATCATTGCAGCTGCCCCAATGAATTAAAAATCAAAACTTTATAATAGCCATCTAGAGTTCTCCTAAGATCTGTGTTAAGTTTGCTTTAATTTAGTTACCTTTAAAAAAAAACAACCATCAAACAACTGTGATGTCAAGTCCTCTGTAATATGACCATAGACTCTTTCTTGAATTAAAGTGAGGAAAGAGCTCCTTCTAGCGGTTGGCGATCTGCTCCAGAAAATAAGTACTTCACCCTGAAAAGTAGTAATGGCTGGGTTTTTTTCTTTCCAGTTCTGTAGCTTTAAATATGGTATCCTGTTACCCAGTAAAATAATAAAGATTTTCTTTCTTTTGCGCATTTTATATAGTTTAATGACTTTCAGAATAATTTTTTAATTCAAGTATCAGGCATTTTTCATCACTACTGTTTTTAAAAGGCCTTAATTAAGATGTATTAAAATGTCTCAGTAATTATTTAATAAATTTTTAATCATTTCAAGCTGTTTCTGAAAAAGCCAGATAGGTAGGTTATATTAAAATGAAACATTACTTTTTAAATTGTTTCAGTATAATTTTTTCTTCCAGGAAAGAAACTCCCACTTACATTTTCTAGTTACCTAAATTCAGCTGAAAATTTAAGCACGATGCATGAAGTAAAGGAGGCTATGCTAAAATATATTATTAAGTGTTAATGTTATGCCTTATAAGAATTGTGTGATTGTAGATATTCCTGATTTAACTGACTGGAGGGAACTTATCTTTGCTCAGATCACTGTGTTTCCTGTGATTCTGGTCTTGCACAAGAAATGGAAGAAAGGTCATGGTAGGTCAGCCCAAAGGTCCATGTATTTCAGACTCTTGTCTTCAGCACTGCTTGCAGTCACACAGAAATGAAATTACCACAATTATTTTTCTAGGAAATAGGTAACTTTCTAATTTGTCTCCACAGGACTCTCCTCTAAAAGCCGTACAGATGTTGTGGGTCAATCTAATTATGGACACCTTTGCCTCACTTGCTTTGGCCACCGAACCTCCAACAGAGGCTCTGCTGCTAAGGAAGCCATATGGCAGGAACAAACCTCTTATATCCCGTACCATGATGAAGAACATTCTGGGCCATGCTGTTTATCAGCTTACTCTCATATTTACGCTTCTTTTTGTCGGTAAGGAAGTTTATCAGGCTTGTTGGTTCGTTTAGAAGCATCTAGATCTTGTAGCCTGACGTGTCTAAATGCTTTAAATGTAACCACTTAATGCACATTTATCAAGTCTGTCATAGTGAAACAGGTGGCAGGACCGAGGTGTTTAATGGGATCAGAAACAGTAGGGGAAACAGAACAGATTTAATTGAGGGATTTAGTCACTTTTCACATGTTGTTTACATTGGGAAGGGCCTCAGTGAGCTTTTTTGCGTCCTAAAAAAATGTAGGTTTGGGCTTTGGCAAAAGTTTGTTGAAACGTAGGTTACGTTTTAATTGGAGTATCTATCCTGCTGCTTCTATACTGAAATTTCATTTTGAGACTTGTCACCTTTAGTAGGCATGTAACAATAAATTTAAAGAAAAAAACAACCCACAACAAAAATCAAGATCCATTTTACCAATATCTGGAGACGCTCTAATCGGGAGCAAAATGTTTGCCATCGTCAAGAAATAATGTTGATCTTAAGTAGTGGAGATAAGCAAGTAATCAGTATTAAATGATACAAATAGCACTCTGTTTTGACATTTAATATCTAGAATGGATATTAAAAGGGGAAAAAATCGGATTTATTAGATTACTGGACTCTTCCTCAGGCCTTGCTAGTGACGGATGCTTTTTATAGGTTGTATTTTGGAGGGGAGGGAAGGAGGAGGAATGTTTCTTGCTGCAGGCAACGGCAGGGGCTAATAATAGATTCTGTTGCTCCACAATAATAAGTGAATTTGCTCAAAGGACTGATAATTTTATCAATTGGGTATTGTCTTCTTGTCACTGTGTCATCGCTGTTAAATTACATGTGTTGTCTTTTAGATTTTTTTCTTTATACACAGACTCCCATATAAGCTGTAAATGTAAATTTATGAATCTTAGGAGGTTTTTGAGCTCTTTTGTGAAAGTCTTGCTCCACCTCACCAACAACTTGGCAGCTTATTTGGAATGCTCAAAGGAGGTGATGGTCTGTTTACACTGGAGCTATTTAAACCAAAATAATTGCCAGGTTTTGAAGAGAGATGGTCTGTAATACTGCTAGGCTTACAGTGTATTTTCAGAATGTCTGCTGAGTCTAAGGAAATTGTAATTTCAGATTCTCTAAAACAAGTGTAAAAGGTCTCGGTAATTCATGTGATATGAATCTTGGAACAAGAACTTCTGTGAACTTTATGGGGAATTTTAATGGCTTTTTGATGAGTTTTATGACTTATGCTGAGCCCTGATGAAAAGAAAACCAAGTGTTTTCACCCTATTCTAATTACTTCTTTTTGTCTCTGGAAAACCCACACATACTTTGAAGGATGCAGCCCAACCGATTTTCTGATAAGCCTAGGAAATAGTCTTTTCCTTTATAAAATCCACAAGCAAGGCTCAAATTTGCAGTGAGATGATGTTCTAAACTCAGTGGTTTAGTAAATAAATTCCAAATTATTGAGATTTATATTTTGATAAACTAATACTTTTTTTTTTTTTGTATTAGGTTTCTGTAGAGGCTAGTATATTAAATTTTTCAATTTTTTTCTATGATGTGGCAATAAATACACTGTGTTTGAACATACAGTACTGCCTTTGAGACGTCAGGCACATCAGAAGTCTAGTCTAATTACTTCTTTTTGTCTCTGGAAAACCACACATACTTTGAGGGACGCAGCCCAACCGACTTCAACTTAAAGCTGATGTACTATAACACCTTTTGGAAAACGTTTGGAAATAAAAATTAGTTATGGGTCTAACCACTGCCATTCTGCAATTAGAGCATTTCTGCTTTGCCAATTAACTGATGGAATGCAATAATAGAGACTTATGGACAGGTACTCTTGCTAAAGAAAGTATTATTCATACATTTGTGTTTGTGTGATGTGGCAATAAATACAATGTGTTTGAACATACAGTAATGCCTTTGGTAATTTGTCACATGCCTGTGACATCAGGCACATCAGAAGTCCAAAAGTGACTGTCTAGTTCTGTGAAACTAGTATAAAAAAAAAAAATCTTAACCTCAGCAACTAGGCATAATAAACTTAAAGCTGATATACTGCAACAACTTTTGGAACATGTTTGGAAATAAAAATTAGTTACGGGTTTAACCACTGCCATTCTGCAATTAGCAGCATTTCTGCTTTGCCAATTAACTGATGGAATGCAATAATAGAGACTTATGGACAGGTACTCTTGCTAAAGAAAGTATTCAGACATTTGTGTTTGTGTATTGAATGAAAGCAAATAGATGTAATGTGTGTATATATATGGGGGGTGTGTGTGTGCGTGTGTATATCTATAAAAGATAAACTGATGGTATCTGTTTTCATTAATTTTTTCCTTTATTGTTTATATGTAGTAAGGGGAATGTTTTCCAATAGTTAATTATCTCTCTGGAGATGTATAATCTTCTTAAAAATCTCTGATGTATCACATTTAAAGTTTTGTGGCCTCCTATTGTGTTAGTGATACATCTGTGATATCGTAATCTACTTTCTGTCAAAAGACTATAAGCCAAATTCTTTCTATGGAAACATGCTCATTATTCCCAGTGACTTGAACACAAACTGCTCAAATACCCCAAGGCAAAAAACCGCTCCCTGTTAACTTAGCTGATGGAATTAATGACCTCAGGAGAAAACCTGAGGAAACCTTTCTTCTTTCTTCAGAAATTCTGAATATAATGCTAGTGGGATAGCAGAAAAAACGTTATTTGCTTTTATTAACAAAACACTGGTTATGGAAACGTGTTGTGATAATCTTCTTTACTCTTATTTCATTCATTATTTACATCTTCATGGAAATGCCCTGTCCTTACTTTAAGACAATGCTCCTTTCAGTAACTGTATGTTATCTGTAAACTTTGTGTGTAAGAAAATGGAAGAAAAATTGGCCATGTCCTGGCAACGTGCACTCACAGCCCAGAAAGCCAATCGTATCCTGGGCTGCATAACACGAAGCGTGGGCAGTAGGTGGAGAGGGGATTCTCCCCCTCTATTCCACTCTGGTGGGACCCCACCTGGGGTTCTGTGTCCAGCTCTGGAGCTCCCAGTACACGAAAGACATGGGGCTGTTAGAGCAGGTCCAGAGGAGGAGCCACAAGACTGATCATTGGAAGTGTCCAATGTCAGGTTGGATGGGACTTTGAGCAACATGATCTACTGAAAGATGTCCTTGCCCATAGCAGGGGGATTGGACTAGATGATCTTTAAAGATCCATTCCAACCCAAGCCATGCTATGATTCCATAAGAAAGAGGTCCCTCAGATACAAATATCTTTCCAAAGCTTACCTCATTTTTACAGTTACTTATCATAGGTGGTCTCTTCCTTTTTTTATTGGTCAAATCTAAAAGTGATAGTCAAATTATCAAAATAAAGAGTATTGCCTGATGATATGGTTTCAAAGCAGAATGATCAAACCCAAATCTGTTTTAAACCAGGAATGTCTCTGTTTTATCATTAATATCCTTGAATGAATTGTTAAGAGTTACGCCGTACCACACTTGACTAGCAAATGGGTAAATCTTGCTAAAGAGTGGTTGCTCTTGTAGAAAATGGCAAACCTACTGTCAGTGGTCTCAAGTGCCTGGTACATCAGAAAGAACTGACTTAGAGTAATTACTACTCAGTTAGAGGAAAAGTACTACTGAAAACTGTTTGTGTAGGTATACCGAGTTATGGGATAAAAATCATCATTTGAGAATCTTTTTGCTCAGGAAGTTTAGATGCCTCTTGCTCACTGGTGTTACATATTCTGCCTATATTATAGTAAGTGCAGAAAGAAAGCCAGTAAAGCAGAGCAAAGGAGACAACCAGCTAAAGCAAACAAGGGAAATATAAATTAAAGTTTGATTAATTTATTCTTGTGGAAACCTTTATTTTTGTCTTATACCTAGGTGAGAAAATGTTTAAGATTGACAGCGGGAGGAACGCACCACTTCACTCTCCTCCTTCAGAGCATTACACCATTATCTTCAACACCTTTGTCATGATGCAGCTTTTCAATGAAATCAACGCACGGAAAATCCACGGCGAAAGAAATGTCTTTGATGGCATCTTCAGAAATCCCATTTTTTGCACTATTGTACTGGGTACCTTTGCTATTCAGGTAATGATTTGGACAAGAATTAGTAACTATGCATCAGAAATTTATGTTAAGGTTTTTCTTCTGTGTGTGACTCAAAAAGGACATTGTAGCATGAGTACTTGGCTGTGACTCTTACTTGCTTTCAAGTAAGTGCAAATGCCCTGTAACCTTCCCTGCAATATGGTACCCAATGTAGCATGTGTGTGTGTGTGTGTGTTCAGCCATGGCACATCTTTGAAAGTGAAAAGAAGTTCCAGTTCTATGTCAAAAATCAGGTAATTTTTCTTGGGACAGCAGGAGGTCCATCTTTCTATTAATTTTCCACTTTGTTTATTGCGTAGTGGGACTATATCTTTGCATAACGTTGCTTGCTGAAGCAATGTCAGAGAAGTATTTATTATTTTGGCTGTGTGTTTTAATAGCTGGATGTGTGAGCCAAGCGTTTTATTCTAAAGAGAAAATTGTTGTCTCCAGGAATTTGGATTACATAGATGGATATGGGAAATTACAGAAGTGGTTTTATTTCATATTTTAAAAAATCTTAGTCCATACATATTTACTACACTTTCTGTGAAGCACAGACTAAATGGCTTTGATACTTCATCTTTGAGTGCAATATTTCTGTTAACTATTAGTTAGTTTAGTTTAGTTTAGTTCTATTTCTAAACCCTTTCGAAAAGCCAGCATCAGTGGCCAAATTTTCAAAGGAAAAAATATGGAGACTATTACAACGTATCCTCAAGATGCAAAGAAAGTGCTTCTGTGAGATGAGAAATAAAAGGGTAGTCACCACTCCTGTCCCCAAACAAGCAATAGCTTTTTTTTTTACTTTTTAAATTCCTTTCTCTGCTTTTAGGATAAATAAATGATTTTTACAGTGCAGGGAGATGAGTTAAAATATGCCATACCTCCCATATAGCATTTAGAAATTTCTCAATGAAGAGTTGTAATTTCGTTCTTATAATTTTAGCATCATATTCACAATTTTTGTTTTGCATTCTCCTTTTTCCTTACTGTCTGCAATCATTTTCCCATTTCCTATCCACGACTTCCATTTTCTGTCCCATTCCTCCTTCCTGTGTATTTGCACTTCACGTGGAATGAGTCTGTGTTCATAGTTTGTGTTTATTCACACACACAGGAAAGCAACCCTTTATGTATTAGTGTTATTTTGTATCTTAGACTGGACAAATTACTTGGAACTTCTGTTTTGCAGCCTTTGACAGTTTAAAATCTCTGGATTTCACGTCCCTATCTATTTATCCAAAAATACAGTAGTAGCACTGCTATCCAAAAATATCAATAATAGCTGATTTTCAGTTAGCAAAGCCTTCTCGCTCTAAGCAGGCTTAGAAACTTGTTCAGATTCTGTGTGCATTGGTTATCCTGCTGCAAGCTGTGTGCTTTTCCCACCCTCTTTTTCCAACAGGACTAGATTTTTGGTACATTATCAGTCTAACCACGATAACACGTCTGTAAGTGTACAATAAAATGTTAATTAGAGGGAAAATCTCTCATGCGGTGGACATTCCAAAATAAACCCCATCAGGGTCAACATGTCCCGAGCTGAGAATACTCAGAAGCTGGGGGGGGTTTTGTGGGGAATGTTTTGTTTTTTCCCCTGATAATGTTTACCTGCTTTCTCCTTCTGCTTTTCTTTGTAGATAGTAATTGTCCAGTTTGGAGGAAAACCATTTAGCTGTTCTCCCCTGCAGCTTGATCAGTGGATGTGGTGTGTATTTATTGGATTAGGAGAACTTGTATGGGGTCAGGTAAGCATTTAGGAATAAGCAGATTTCTTTCTTTTGGTTTTCTAAACCAATCAAAGAGCTGATATTGTTCATAATCCTGTTACACTGTTGTTTCCTTGATATCTCACAATGTCATATTTAGCACACACTGAAATATAGGATGCTCTCTAAGTACTTCAAGAATAGGTATAGTAGTAAGGATAATTTATCCCACTGTTACTTTTGATTTTTGTTAATTTTCATATCTTTTCTTTCCCTAAGCAGGGTGTGCTATCAACAAGGTCTTCTTCAGTTAGGCTTTTTCATGAAAGACGTTTGATTCATAACCTAGTTTTCTAGTCACAAAAAAAATATAGTAAGGGCATATGCACTGTAACCTTCCCTGCAATAGAGTACCCAATGTGTGTGTTCCAATTTTTGAAAGTGAAAAGAAGCTCCAGTTCTCTGTCAGCCCACTCATTCCCTTGCTGCAACTGCCATTCTGTCAATCCATGGTAGCCTTGGTGCTGGCACAGGACTAAGCCCAGAGCATTTGATAGACACCCCCAGGGATGCTGGTCCTCCATCCACCTACTTCTCTGTGCAAAGGATGCAAGGAAAAGGATATTTTCCTATAATAGTTGCAGAAAAGTGCAATTTAACTCGCGTGTCATTTTAAAATTCTGCTACAAGCTGTGTCATCATTACCTAATATAGTATTATATATAGATGTAAAACCAAGAGTCAATGAGATAGTTAAGTTATGTGATTGTCTGGAAGTAACAATACACATACAATCAGTATTGTTAAAATACTACATTATTCTTTTACGTACAAACACGTATTGCAAAGCTAATGTTAATTTTTTTCATCTTTGAATGCATTATTAATGTATTTAAGTTGATGCCACCTGACACAGTAAAAAAGACACATGAAAAAGATGGTTACATCTTGCCTCTCAGATGTAAAGATACATACAGATCAACTAGTTTGCCGCTATGAAGAAACAGGCAAGAAATTGCCAACTGTAATTGAATACTGAAATGTTCTGATGGAATTGTAATGCAAGCTTCAAAACTGATTATTTGTTCTCTTGTGGAAAAAATTCACTTTTTGGACAGTTGGGCCTCAGATTTTTTTGAAACAATAAGCTCAGAGTCATGACAGCTTGTAATGCATATGTTGCTGAAAACTACCATTATTTGATTGTTCTAATGAAAGTATAACGTGAAGATAGGACTTGATTTATGACCTCACAGGGAGAAAACCTAAAATCAGTTTGGTAAATCTTGGAAGGAAAAGATTTGTTTCCAACTGACTGGAAAATACCAACTTTGGGAGGAGGGGGAAGAAAAGCAGGGAAAGGGAGAAAAATCCTAGCAGTTTTATTAGATCATTCAGCTGTGAAGACTTTCCCACAGCCTTTGATCAATGTACTATTTGGCTTCTAAATTTTGTTACATGTGGTTATTACATAACCACTGAAAACTAAGAATAATATCAGCATCTGTTTTCAATTTAAAGATGGGCATAGTTGTCCAAGCCTTATTGCGAAAGCTTAGCCATTAGAATAAAACTGGTATTGGAATACCTCAACAATTTTATTACTGAAAGACTGCAATTTTACATAAAGCAAATACAGAGGAAAAAAAAAATTCTTTTTCTTGTAGTCAGTATTTAGTGATCAGAAAAGAAAAACAGAAGCTAAAAAAATGCATTATTTGCATATTTACATGCTATACATTCTTTGGCAAGTCTTCTCTTCATGGAGCTCTACAGTAAAAGAGACTATTTTTCCTTTAGAAGAGGTGCTTCTCTTCCTTCTCAGCCTTTTCTCTCCTGCTATGACTAATTCTAGTTCAGCACAAATTTGTTATCCCTTCCTTTTATCACAGTCTCCTGAACCTGCTGTTCTTGTGAACCACTAAAACCAATCAAGATTTTCAAGTTTAGATGTTAAAGTTGGCACTTTTAAAGGTGATTTAAAGTGTAATTTCTAGGAAGCCAATCTGAGATGCTTTGAGGGCCAGATTTCTGTCCCTGATGATGGACAGTGGCCCTCATCACTTCTGAAAACTAGGTCTTTCTAAAATATTTCATGTTACATTCCCAAAATTATTGATCACTTTTGAAAACCATGATAGTTTTCTTGGGAATAATATTTAGTTGCCCCCTACATCCAGTCTATTGAGTCTGCCATTACCTGAACTGGGCAGGTGTCTGCAGGTACGGAAAACAAATGAACAAAAAAAAGACATCTAAACATCCTAAAAAAAGAATTAGAGGAGAGTCTATCAGCCTGGCTGAGAGGGGTCACGAAGGAGAGGGACAGAATCACTACCAAAAGCAGTTGTTTCTCTGTGTACTGTCTTACAAGTAGGTCTTCACCATCAGTTCAATCAGAAACCAAACAATCTCAAGTAGCTTCTTTCTGTAGAGTGCTGGCATTATAGTGTTTTGAAAGCTGGGAAGCTGATGCAGTTTCAGTAAGTATTTAAATGATTAGCACTTACCTTTTCTTTTTTTCTCCTGTTTTGTCTTTGCTCACATCATACAAATTCATTAATTTCCCAAGTTTACATCATTTTTTTCAAACCCCAAAATGCATTTAAAAGGTTCTGTAGTAGTGTAGAAACTGGGTGTTTTTTTTGACATTTCTTCATTTGTATTTAAAAATACTATAATAAAAGTGGAGTTGTGGATCATGAAGTTCAAGGAGACCTTCAGCTAAACCACTTTATTTTCATCCTGAAAATATCTGGTACCTTTTCACGCGTCTTCACTGTATCCATTCCAGTTTACCAAAACTGTAAGATATAGACTCACCAGCTTTCCTGCAGCTCTCTGATTCTATCTCCATCTTTCACACACTGGGGCTTCAGAGAGGTGATTGCTCAGTGCTGAAACAAAGACAAAAAAGAAAATTGCAGCACTTTTTTGCTAAATGGGTCTAATAGTTAACTTTATAGGAGATTGGGGTTTTTTTAAGCATTCAATATGTTCCAGGTAATATCTTGTTTAAATAGCCATCTACTCGTATTTTCATTCAAGCTGACAAAAGAAATCAGAACAAAGAGAAAATGACTGCTCAAGAGGGTGACACTGAAATGTAGTCAAAGTAATTGTGTTACATCGTGTGACATATTTTTGCAAATTCTTGTGACAAATATTTGCAAACTTTTAAGATTATTAGCCATCTCCTGTACTAATTACTTCCAATAACCATTTTGGTGGACAAACATAATAAGAGGGGCTGAGTTAATCAGAATTTATTAGTAATAAGGACACAGAGTAAGAGGGAGCCCTATAAGAAGTCAAACAGGGAGACAGTGAAACCCACACCTTTCAAAAACCTCAGTTTTGATAAATGCCAAGAAAATAATTTCAACTTGCTGAAACAAAGGGAAGCTGAATACATGAACCAATGTAGAGTGAACCAAAAGGGAAGCTGAATACATGAACCAATGTAGTGTGAACCAACCAGCAGATTGATGGAGGTCATTCTCCCCCTCTACTTTGCACTGGTGAGGCCACAACTGGAATACTGTGTCCAGTTCTGGGCTTCCCAGTTCAAGAGGGACAGGGAACTACTGGAGAGAGTCCAGCGTAGGGCAACAGAGATGATTAAGGGATTAGAGCACCTCCCTTACGAGGAAAGGCTCAAAGAGCTGGGACTCAAGAAAAGAAGACTGAGGGGAGACCTCATCTATGTCTACAAGTTCCTAAAGGGTGGGTTGAGGGAGGATGGAGCCGGACTCTTTTCAGTGGTTCCCAGCAATAGGATGAGGGGCAACGGGCTCAAGCTGGAACATGGGAAGTTCCACTCAAATATGAGGGAGAACTTCTTTATGGGGAGGGTGCCAGAGCCCTGGAACAGGCTGCCCAGGGAGGGTGTGGAGTCCCCTTCTCTGGAGATTTTCAAGACCCGCCTGGATGCAGTCCTGATGAGTGATGTGCTTTAGCAGGGGAGTTGGACTAGGTGATCCCTTCCAACTCTGTCAAATCCATGAATCCGAGAAGATTTATAAGCATGAGATGCAACTAATTTTCAGCTGACATTATCATACATTTAATTATTATCATTGTATAAATGATATTAAAAATAATTTAAAATTAACCCAAAAATAAAATATAAAAATTAAAAATAATTAAAAATACCCAAAAATCTAATTGAAGAAATATCAGCCTTGCTAAGTTTTTTTTAAAAATCATTACATTCAAAATACATCCTCTTTCAGTTTTTTGAGAAAGGACAACATTTTTTCCAGCCTTAAACTTGCTCCATAGCTGTCTATTGCCAATAGGATTTAATGATGCAAGTACATTGATTGTTTACAATCAATGATTTGTACAATTATTGTTTACACAGTAAACTAAGTGGTTTTGGACTAAAACAGAGTTACATAAATGTAAAGTACTATTATGAATATGCTTATCTTACTTTTTCTAAAAGCTTATAGATCTCATTAAAGTATCAGTGTTCTTTTGTAATTAGCAGATTATTATACAATTGTTATTGGATGAGGTTTATGTTTTCAGTACTTTTTTATAATTTTAGGTCATTGCAACCATCCCAACAAGTAGGCTAAAGTTTTTAAAGGAGGCAGGGAGGCTCACGGAGAAGGAGGAGGTCCCTGAAGAAGAACTCAATGAAGATGTTGAAGAAATCGATCATGCAGAGAGAGAACTTCGACGTGGACAAATTCTCTGGTTCAGAGGGCTTAACAGAATCCAAACCCAGGTACGCTAAAAGTAAACACCCACATGGTCTAGGAAATAAAGGCTTAATCTTTGATCAAGGCAAGATAACGTTACAAGGAAAGCCACAGAGAGTTTGTCTGTGTTGAATGATGGTGCTTGTTTGTTGCTTTGCTGTTTTCAAAGGAGGAACACGTGAAATAGTAAAATGGGTGACCTGAACAAAGATGTGTGTGTATAGTAGAGTGATAAAGTGAAAATGGTAATATGCAAACATAGCAATACTTTTTTCAAGGCTGCTGTGAAGGTACATTCTTTTCTACTTCAGTGATGATGGCTCATAAAATGGTGCTATTTGGAAAATGCCGGCTGTGGCAACAGCTAGCAAACTGGTGTGAAGGCTTTCTATAACATACTCTTGTATTTTGTCAAAAAAATATATTGTTGCTGCCACTTCTGCGCTAACAGAATCAATTTAATCGTTGAGTCTAAAGTACAAAGTGTCATTTGATTAAAAAAATAATCTTTTCTTGTCTGGCACTACCATATACCATATGCATCATGATTAAAATGCATTTCCTTTCTTTCCTGTCAGGTAATGAAAAATGTGGTTCTGGATTTATTTTTAGCAGTAAGGGCCTAAGCATCCATTAAATATTCAAATGTATGTGTTGTCTATGTCTACTATGAATGACATCTTAGAAATATATATTTTTTTATTTTAAAAAACCTCAACTATTGCTAAATACAACAAACCATGGCATTTTTTAATATACTAAATATTTGCACTGAATCGTGGTGCCTACATATAGTATGGGTTAGGATATCTAGTAAACTTTGTCCTGTATTGATAAAAAAAATTATTTGAGCTATTTTGCCTTTTTCATTGCAGTGAAGTAGCATGTTTTCTAGTATAGTGCTACTTGATCTGAGATCAAGTATTTGTGTGAGCTTGCAGAAGAGAGCAGCTCTGAAAGACAGATTACCTACTTGCTATATCAGATGTTACTGTTTTACCTGAAGCTTTAAAGAAAAAGAGGTGAATAATTAAGAAAAACTTTTTTTTTTTCTTAAAAGAATCTTTTAAAGAACATTTTTTATCTCAGAAGATTTTGATTTTTGTCTTCATTCGAGATAAACAACCTTTTCTCCCTATTTCCATCTACAAATGAATACATTTTTTTCTGGAGAAAGAGATGCAGCCATGCGTTTTAGAAGAAAACTGTGGGAAGGCAGTTAACTGAAAGTAAGGACAGTCAGGTCTCCCTAGTGCATCCACAGAGCAAAAAAGAAAGAGGGTGAAAACTGGGTTTGGGCAAATTCCCAAGGTTCTGTGGTAAGTAATTAAATACGGATCTTCAGCTTTGGGGTTGTGTGTCTTGACTCTGTTGAGTCAGGAGCGCTCGTCATTAGAGAAAATTCAAATTGTCACAGTGTAAAGGTGACAGACAGGTGCTCAGGTAATCGTGATCTTTATGAAGAGATGGCATCTAAATGTGCATTCTTTTCTTCCTGATGGCTATAGGAGGAGTGTTGCCTGTTGGCATTTCTGTCAGGATGTCTTTCTGGTTGTGGTGAGTGTAAACATCTACAAGCACAAAAAAAAGCAAATTACATCCTTTCAGTGCTTTTTCTAGTCTAAGAGGTAGCATTTAGTTCTTCTGCATAACTATGTCCACTTAATTCACAGATAAATCATTATTCTTTTATACTATTTAAAACAAAATGAACATTGATTATATTTCTTTGCTAACATCCATCTTCTTAGTCTCCTTTCTGCTCTTAGTTGTAGAAATATCTTTGGTAGGATGTATTGTTTCTCTCCTGCCAAAAGGCCTCTGTGATTTTTTTCTCATTTTGTTTATTCAGTGACTTTGATTTTTACATCCATTTCACATCTGTGGAATGATAATGGAAAAAAGCAAATGGGCCAACAGATTCAAAAAGGGTTCCATGGTGTCTACTGGAGAGTGATGAACTTACACGCAGGTCAAATTAGATCCACCGTTGGATGGACCTTGAGTTGAGTGCGTTTTGATGCACTACGTGTTGTGGCCCATCCAAATAAATTCATACACTTGTACTACATTTCTCAGGAAGCCAACTAAAGAAGAGTTGATGGAAGAAGATGAGGATGTCTGTAGCATCCTTGGGGAGCTGGAGGATTTGCAAGAATCCTCTGATGTCTAATGCACTTCTGGAGATACGGAAGAAGGTAGAGCATCCCCTCACTTTATATACATAACAGGATGACAGTAGGATTAGGAATAAACTCTAGACTCTCTCAAGACTACATTGATCATTCAAATCCTAACAAGACCAGTTCCCACTATCATACACTTGTGCTGTATAGATTATCTTTATTTTGGCTTATTTTCTATTCATTCATTATTGGACAGCCAGCCACAGCACTCAACAAAAGCCTTCCTAAACACTTACTAAGAATCTACATTAGCAGTGTTTTTCTCAGATAACTGACAGATGTCCCTTGTGATACTCCCATAAAAACTCATCCAAACTGACAAAAACTTTGCAGTACTAAAGACAATTTTTACTTTTTCGCACCCTCTCTCAACACAGAGTGTTCAAACGTAGACACCAGAGAAACGATTTCCACTATTGATTTCTTCATACTGAAACATCACATATTTCTGTGAAGACATGCATGAATTTACTTTAAAGGTATATGAAAAATGCACGTAACTGAGTCAAAGAGACTGGGTATCTACTTCTGATTTTCTTTTTTTGGTCTACTTTTGTTCATTTAGATATTTTGTTGTCTTATAAATATACTTTAGGGCTTCTCTGGACGGATGCATGTTCTTCTTCTCTGAATGGACGTGTTTCCTTGTGGATAGCTCTCTCAGGAGACCACTAACATACAAAGTTCAAATGACTCATCCTAGTTATGCAAGTTTCAGAAAGATATAAAGGGGGTCTTAAATGGCACAAAAGACAGGGCTTTTCAACCTCTGCTAGTTTTCAGCAATTTTTCTCAAGTCTTTGTTGCTGTTCTCCCAAATCCTTCATTCTGAAGGAATAAAAGAGTTGAGAGAAGACTCATCACACCATCCTGGCAGATCTAACAGCCTTTGGAAAGTTCAGCAAGTTCACTGTCAGGCAAAACTGTGTAATCTGCATAACACCTGAAAATGATTGCATCTTTTTTAAATTGTATATTTAACAGTTTCTCTAGTTACATTGTACTTCAGTATAGAAAAATTCTGAGTGTGGAGGTTTGCAAACTTTCAAGCTACATGTGAGATTTTTAGAACACTGGACCTGATTCTTTCTTCCTCTGCTTCATTCATCCTGTAATTCAGTTTGCTTTATCTGCTTAAGGTGGGAAATAACCATCTAGAACTGCAACTGAAAAATATACAGGTGCCATGTTAATTGCTACTGAAAAAAGATTACTCCTATTTAGGTACTAAAACATACATAGAGGTGCTGTACTGCATTTTCTTTCTCTTCCTCTCTGCATTAAAAATTTTCTGTTGAACCAATGGAAACCCTACAGCAATGAAAGTCCCTCCTGGCAAGTGGTTTTGAAGTTAGATAATAAGCTAGCACCTCCTTTTATAGCTTTACATACAGCTTTTAATATAGAAAACATTGCAATAGCCCGGTGCAAGTGGAATGGAAACTGTTTTATTGCATTGCAGAAAAGTTTTTTGGGTTTTTGGTTGGTTTTTGGTTGTGTTTTTTTTTAAAAAAATATCCTGGTTGGAGATGAGGTGAATCTCCTGGGTCTTGTTAACATTAATGACAACAGAAATTCTTGAAAATCTGTTCTGTGTTAAATATCAGAAAAACGTTTGTTCTGCCAGAATTCTAGTAAAAGATCTTTTTTTCCTCTTTTAACTACTAATCACTGATATTTTAATTAGCTATTTTGTACCTCAGAAATACGGATCTTCTAGACTATAGAACATAGAGAAAAATGAGAGGTGAAAAATTGCAACCTTACAAATGAGCTTCATATGTAGGACAGTATTTTTTTTCTCTGCCTGAAGGCTTATAATCAAAATGATTGCATCCTATATTTTGTTGGATATTTTTCAAACTTTTCATGATATATGATTTATCATTTACTTTCCCCTTTTTAGCAATTTGAATTGTTCTTAACTTTAAATGCATTATTTATTTAGATGAACTCGTTTTCCTTTGGGCACTTTAAATGCATTATTTATTTAGATGAACTTGTTTTCCTTTGGTTGGGTCAAGTTCTTCTCTTCTTTCTTGGCTTCAGGCAGAACACAGCCCCTTACGTAAAAAGGTTGTCATCTTCCTCCCTAGGAATGATATTCATGAAGATCTGTGGTTACTTTATTCAGGAGAATGAGTAAATTACACACCTGTAATTCTTTTCTCTGGATAAACTATTAAATACAGGTCTTCCCTTATCTTTTCATTCTTATAGTGAGGTCTTTCCTTCGATTTATCAGGAAGGCATTTGTACATCTAGAGATGCCTTTTGGCTTAGGATCTGTGTCTTCCACAGTGCTCGCACTTCATGCTCTCAGTAGGAGTCCTTAAAATCTTTTTTTGAATGGTCTCTTTTGAAGAGTGCTCTGTCACCTGTGTTAGATCATGAAAACCCAAGATCTGTATTTAATCTACTTTTGTACAGTGAACATTTCAGGTGAGTACTTAGTATGCCTTCCTATGTCAACAATGGTTTAAACCATATGGGGTTTTTTTCTAGATTTTTGTACAGTGAACATTTCAGGTGAGTATTTAGTATGCCTTCCTATGTCAACAATGGTTTAAACCATATGGTTTTTTTTCTAGATGCCAATGTGAACCTTAGCTAATGATTCAGTTGTACCCCTATTCCATATGCTAACTCACCTCAGACTGTATTTTTTTTTCTAGATGCCAATGTGAACCTTAGCTAATGATTCACTTGTACCCCTATTCCATCTGCTAACTCACCTCAGACTGTATTTTTTTACTGTGATATTTTATTCGATATGTAATTCAGAATGTCTGCTACAGAAACCACTGAGAGCAGAGCTGTAACATGTTGTGATGAGTGCT